TATTATACATATATAAAAATATATTATATATACATATATTATACATATATAATACATATAAAAAATAAAAAAATAAAAAAAATAAAAAAAATACTATTCCGGGCTTATAAGTATACTTATATGTGTATATTATAGAATTACAGTTATATAAGTATATATAAGTGCATAAGTATAATTATATATAAGTATATTGCATCTATATATAAAAGTATATAATATAAGTAAACTGTATAAAACAATATAAATATATATAATGTAGTTATAAGTATACTTATATGTGTATATTATAGAATTACAGTTATATAAGTATATATAAGTGCATAAGTATAATTATATATAAGTATATTGCATCTATATATAAAAGTATATAATATAAGTAAACTGTATAACTATACTTTAATAAGCATAATGTAAGTTTGTAACAAATACATATATAACTATATAATACATATTTATAAATAAGTAATATATACTTATGTGATTCTCTCTCTCTCTCAAGTTACAATTTATAAGTATATACAATATATTTATATATAATATATGTATATATAATATATAGCTATATAATAATATGTACGTATATACTAATACATAATTATATAAATATAATAAGATTAATCTAATTTTTTAGCAATTTTTACCAAAAAAAGAAAAAGAAAACAACCGGGCCTGGGTTCGAGTCACAGATTTTGTCTAGCCCAGACGCGGTTTTCCAGGCCGGACCGGTCCGACCCGGGTGGACAGGGTCACATGGCTAATGCTCATATTTTACTTCTGAATTTCTTACATCAGGCAGCTCATTAATTAAATTGGTTTTTCTTTCCCATAAAAAGTTAGGTATCCCAATCTAAGGGTCTGTTTGGTTATATGTTTTTACCATGTAAAATGATGGAAAGTGTAAAAAAATGGGTCTCAATGTCAGCTTTTATCACTTTCAATTGTTTGTTTGTAGTTGTGAAAATAGTGTAAAGTGATTTCATATGCTGATGTGGCTTGTAAAGTGGTTTTATAAAAAAAAGTCATGATTTTAGGAGAAAGCTGACATTAAAGTCAAGAAAAAATAATAAAAAATAATTCAAACCAATATGATCATTTGAGTAGGGACCATTTTTTAAACTTTCCAAACAAACAATTAAAATTACATTTGCAAACCAAACAAACAATTTATGATTCCAATGGAATCAAAAACAAACAAAGAAAAGTATAACATTTGCAAACCAAACAAACAATTTATGATTCCAATGGAATCAAAAACAAACAAAGAAAAGTATAAAAGTGAAATTGATGAGGTGGACAATAACTTTCCAAGTTGTGTCATAAATACACAAGTTTACCAACAATAACCAAACATCCCCTGCTGCTTCTCCTTCTTCTTCCCCCGTGGCAAAGGCCAAAGGGTACCCACAGAAGACAGGACACTTCATTTACAACCGTGCTTTTTGGCTCCCCCCCCCCCCAGGGGTGGTCCCCACTGTGTCAGTGGGGACCACCCCCTGTTTCACGAGCGAGTTGGCTCGCGCGTTAAAGCGCGAGCCAAAAATCTTTTTCCCTAAAAATAAGCTTCTAAGATGAAAACAAACTTCTCTCAATGTGATCGAGGCATGTGAATGTACAACCTTTTAAGAGTAGATTTCGCCCCTTTGAGAGCATCTCTCAGAGTAGCAGGTTGTGGGCGGTCTGCCCTTCAAGAATCAATGACTGTTGGCCGAGTAAGTGTGCACTCACAATGCTATAGCCCCTTGAACAGCTCTAATTTTTTCCTTCCTTAACAAGGAAGGTAGAAGAGAGTTCAAGAGAGAAACTTGAGAAGAGAAGCTTGCTGTTTTCTGCATCGATCATACTTAAAGAAAAGGCTCAGTTCATAGGTTAGAAAGCGTGTTAAGGTTTTGTAGATCCGGTTGCCAGATTTCTGTTTCTCTTCTCTATTTGGATTGTGTGCGCGTAAGCACCTCTACTCCTAAGCTCATTCAACGCAATAAAAAAGAACCAACACATTAAA